TCCCGAACTTCGAGGGCCAGTATTTCACAGGGTTAGCTACTTTGATTCCTTGCGATCTTGCTACGGAACGAAAAGTGCAAAAACGCGTAATCGCACTGGCCCGCCTGGTGCGTTCCAACTTGGGTTCACAGTACAAAAAACAGTGGGATACCACACTTTTTTGCAAAAAAAGGCAGACACGCCAGATTCATTATATCTTTCCATCGAAATGATACCTCGTCATCAGTACGACGCCCTTAGCCAGCAATAAGCCGTTTTTATTTGTGCTCAGTATCTTCACCTTCCTGAGCCTAAATTTACACTGATGTTGTAAATTTAGAACAATCAGTCAGCTGCACTGCTAACTTGATCAAATTTTGGTCCCAACGACTAAACTTTGCTTATTTTTATCTTGCAGTGAAAGAAAGAACCGCTGCCCCTCATTTTATGAGTATGCCATTGCCGCTTTAGCAAATTTTCATAGGTAGTGAAAAATTGTGTTACAAAAACTTTAATCACTCCCTGCAGAGAAGAAAGCGGAAGGAAGTAGTGGCCACACTGTGCGAAAAAAATCCCCAAATTTCTTCATCGAACCGTATGAAGACGTCGGAAGCAAAAAACCGCAAGCAGTACTACTCTTTCTTCCGAGGATTGTTTAAAGAAAGGGACTGAGTGCGACTTGATCTGTTCGGATATGCAAAATTTTACTGTACATCAAAATAAATCAACAAATCGTAATGGAACTAATGCACTCTAAAAAAAAACTTAGTCGAAAGCGTACCGGCTGCCGGCACGAGGACGCGTTTTTTGCACAGTTCCCCTGCAGGTTTTTTCGTCAGTGGCGCGTTCTTCCCGGCAGATGCTTCTAGGTAAGAGAATTGGAACTGGCCACCACGATCGTTAGAAATTATTACAATGACTTCCAATCCATGCCCAAAAAATTCAGCGCTCTAGATGCTTAGGAGCGGAGTTACTTCAAATTTCACGTGCTCGTGCGTGAGTGGCAACGTGAATACTTTCTTCGCGCGCGGTTGCTCAAACGCGATTCTGGATAACACTCAGAAACTTTCAACAATCCAGCTGCTCTGGCTGCAGAGTTACGTCACGTGTACGCACGTGAGTGACAACGTGAATGCTTTCCTCTCCTGCGGTTGCTCGAACACGGCCTTAGGTACGACCAGAAAGTTTCAGCAATCCAGCTGCTCTGATTGCAGAATTACGTCGAATTTCATGTGTCCGTGCGTGAAACGTACGTGAGACGTAAAGGCGATGTGTAAGTCGTTTTTGTGTGCATCGTGTCAAAGGCCATCGTCGGTTATGCTCAGAAAGTTCAGGCCCTTTGGCTGGTTCAATTCTGAAGTTTTTGTGACTAAAAAAATGCATGCGTGAAATTTTCACGTGTTCGTACGTGAGATGCAGAAGAGCTGACAAGTAATTTACTTTTATGGGTACAGCAATGGGCGACAAGTAAAGCTGCAAAATTGCAGCTCTCTACAGTTTATTGATCAGCTTAAATCTGAAGTTGGCGCGATGCCAGTTTAAACTTTGACGTGTTCGTACGTGAGACATAGGGGTGCGTGAAAGCTGAATTTGAAATCTTTGGAATAGACGCGACAAAAGGAAAATTTCTGTGAATTTCCAGCCTCCTAGCATGGGCCGTTCCCGAAAACGCTTTCTCGCCAAAAAAAAACCTTCACGTGTCCCTTCCTGAGAACTACGCGGAACTGGGCGCCCATTTTGAGGGTGCAAGCCCACACGTGTATGTAGATTAAGCCACTAAATTTTCAGCCTTGTAGCTTTTGTGGATCTCGAGATGAAAATTCGTTACAGACGCACACAGACACACATACACACACAGACAACCCCTCAACAATATGCGTTTTGCATTGCATAGCTGCAAAACTGGTCCGCTCTATGAATCAGTACTTCAGCCTTCTGACTTAAACGACCGAAGCGTCTTATCTCACCCCCTGTGTCTGTTCTTAATTCGCCTCCCTCTCCGTCTAGTCTCTGTCCTTTAATGCACTCAGGCTTGACGTGGCTGCTAGGAGCTAATTCTACTGCTTAAACGAGATTCCGCAGTAAATCAAATCAAATTATAACCGCAATTTGAAGAGCGGTTTGGGGCCGAGTCGTAGTTCGCTGCAGATTTTTCAGGCTATCCACGCCCACTTGTTGCACAATGTTCTTCTGAGCGAATGCCCGTGCAACAGTGCCTGCTTGTTCATTTTCATCCTTTTTCAGGTTGTTCTGCAAAATACTATTCACTCAGATAACTTGAAAAAAAGCTGGTCAATTTTTTTTGTCGCTGTGGTGGCAAGGTCTTCTAGTCGGTTTGGCAACTCATTATGAACGAGCAATGGATCAGTTCGGAAGCGAGGTGATGATGCTCAGTGCGTTAGCGACACTTTCAAATTGCTAAAGCCTTGCCAAGTGCATAGTTCTTTCTGAAGGCTGAACAAAAGCCAGAATCGGTTTTACATTTTTTGGATCCTTACATGACTGAAAGCTATGATTCTAATCACAACTTCCAAGCTGTTACAGCTCTGCTGTTGTAGCGACGTTAAACTTAAACTGTTGTAGAAATAGCATACACTGCCAAAATGCGTCTCTGCAATAATTCATAGACCAACGCATAAAAAGTGTGGAAATTGCTAGTTGAGTGTGGGTAAATCTTAAGCCAACGGCGCAGTGCGATGGCAGCAATAAGGCAGCAAAGAGTAAAACAAGTGACAAAAAAATGATGCGGTAGTAAAAGAGGATGACAGCTATATGGGCAAATCATCCAGATGCAGAAGCAATACAAAGAAATAATCATTGGTGACGCGCACCGGGCGGGCCCGTGCGATCATGCGTTTTTGCAGTATTTCGTGCTGTAATGAGATCGC